CTGGCAGGGAGGACGTGCTGGGTAAGCGTTAACAACTTCACCCTCCTTCACCGCACACCCGAGGGCGGCAGCCAAATCCTGCTAAGTCAAGTCGTTTTGAATGCTGGCTCCAGGCCCTGCTCACTTTTTCCGCAAAGTCAAAGGCAGGGGAAGCCACAGGGTGTCTCTGTTCTGGCTCCTGTAAAGCCACAGCTTTCTAAATCCTCATAGACTGTGACATCCTTCCTTTGGGTAAGTTTTGGAGCCCATATGTTCAAGCACGGTGCCCCTTTCCTCACCAGATATGATGTCATCAGATTCGGGCCAGCTTGTTTCTTAGACTCCCCGGAAATCTAGAAGACACTGGCCACTCAGTATTTGTCCTGCTCCTCTTGGGTTAATGTTTACCCTTTCTTTAAGTTGTTCATCAGTGATCTAATGTAACCTACTGTTTGCATAGAATGCAAACTCTAGGGACCCAGCTAAGCTAGAGACTGGGATGTTATGCACCTGATAATCAAGTCTCCCAAGAAGTTCTTCCAGGCCAGAGTGGCTTTGATCTGTTCCCCTACTCTACTTGTCCCCATCCATGGTCAGGCATAGCCAATGGAGAATTTTCCATCCTTTTCTACATGGAGATGGAGATGTGATACATCTTTGGTGTTGAAACCCAAGCCATGATCATAATGAGATTTTCTGAGATAATTTGTTTCAGGACAAATTTCTTTAGCAGTTTAGTAATTCTATAGATGCAATAACAATCATATTTTTACAGGAGTTAAAAAAAAAAACCCAAGACAAAACTTTCTACTTAGAAAAAGAAATGTCATTTCATTTCTTAGCTACACCAAAAAAAAAAAAAATGCATTTGTCAAGATGAAAAATCAGAAGGAACGGAAGTAAAGCATGTTTAGCTATACTTACTCAGTTACATTTTTCATTCACTTGAATACAGTAGCCTAAAGAGGCTTTGGGCAGCAACAATAGGCAATATAGCATTGGGTAAGAAGAAGAGATTCTAAAAGGCAAAGTGATTCTCTATGCAGAGAGTAACAAGGGGCTCTGAGATGTTGAACCACTTGATTTATCTAGAAACAAATTATAGCCATGAACTGGTACAAATGGATGCTGATGGCATCTTGAAACCAGATCTCAGCTCTGCTCGTTCATGTTAACTTGAGTAATGGGAACCCTCAGAAAGTCTCAGCTGCTGCATCTGTAAAATGCTAATACAGGTCAACAACATCTTTGCCCAAACCCTGGAGGCAGATGAGTTTTATAGTTCAGGATGAGACAGAACCCATCCTTCGAAGTGAAGTATCACAAGAATGGAAAAGCAAGCACCACATGTACTCGCCGTCAAATTGGTACTAAGTGATCAACACTTAGGTGCTCTCATGGAAGTAATATTCATTGGGTCCCGTGTGGGTGGGAGGGGAGCAGAGGGGATGGTAAATTCATAACTCATGGGTGCAGAGCGCACTGTCTGCGGGATGGGCACACTTGTAGCTCTGGCTTGGGCGATGCAAAACAATATGTGTAACCAAAATGTCCCCCCATAATATTCTGAAATTTAAGAAAAAGAAAAGGAATTAAAAATTTTTTTCATTACAAAAAAGAAAAAGAAAGGGAATTAGTGCACTTACCTTTTGTTGGTCTGCAGCAGGGTCAGGGGAAGCTTCTCACAAAATATGTTAATAGTTTAGAGGCAAAATATACTCACACTAAATGGAGCAAACAAAGATTATCAATAACCTTTCATCAGGTCAGGTGAGGTGAGATTTTTGCCAACAAGGGGGTTATGAAAAAACTTTCAAACTTTAGCACTGTTTGGATTTGGGGATTGTCAGCAAGGGATCGTGGACCTGACCTGTCTTTCTTACAGAATTGCTGGGAGAATTAAAGGAGACAAAGTACGTAAGTACCTGGTGAATGGCAGGAGTTCAATAAAATATATTTTTGATTTAGTATTAACAAATACAAATTATAGCAACACGCTGTCATAACATTATGTAAATATTTAATCAAATAAACTGTTCGCCAGTGTCCACTGGTGCTAAGCTGACCCACAGTACATTTGCCAACTAAGTGCCTGCTCCACGCCAGGCAACGCTCTGCGCTTCTCAGGCATTCTCTCCTTCCCCCGGCTCCACAGTCCCCGGCTGCAGTGGCTTTAGCATCCCCCTTTTATAAATAAGCTAGCTACTTTAGGCCCCGAGAGGTTCTCTGAACCCACAAAGCCAGTGGGTGGCAGGGTGAAGGGTGAACACAGGATTCTGGCTTTAGGGGCAAAATTGAGGCATTCAGGTTACTTCTGGGGGGAAAAAAATCCCAAATAGATATTTGGAGGGTAGACTCTGCGAAAAGGGGAGGCTGTGTTCTAGGAGTCGCCCCCAACCAGTTCCCAGCTGCCTGGTCAGCTCTGAGCCTGGCAGGCGGCGGCGTGTCAGTGGCGCTTGTCCAGGCTCAGCAGGCCGGGCCCCTCGGCTCTGCGCCCTTCGCTGTCACCCTCAGCCCTGACGGATGAGCAGGCTCCGTCTCACCCGTGGCCAGCTTCCAACTGTCCCTATTTTCTTCCTCCCTTCTCGAGGAACTCCAGGCCCAGAGAATTTACCAAGGAGGAACATTTTTCAGTCCCAGGCCTGCTTCTGTCTAGGCCTGCAAGGTCCTCCGCTGGCTCTGGGGAAGGGCTTTTAGGAGTCCTGAATATGCTGCTTTTAAAATTCTACCCAACACCATCTCCTTTGCTGCCACTCGCGGCTCTTCTCCCGGGCACTCTCCTCCCATCACTTGCAGTGATGCCTAGTTCTTCATGACTCGGTCAGACCACATCTTCTCTTCTATGTTCACCCTCTAAATCTCCACTATTTCCACTTCCTAGACCGAAAATAAAGGATTTCGTTTTCTCTCTCTCTCTCTTTTTTTTTTTTTTTTTTGAGATAGAGTCTCACTCTGTTGCCCGGGCTACAGTGCCGTGGCATCAGCCTAGCTCACAACAACCTCAAACTCCTGGGCTCAAGCGATGATTCTGCCTCAGCCTCCCGAGTAGCTGGGACTATAGGCGTGGGCCACCCAAGCTTGGCTAATTTTTTTTCTATTTTTAGCAGGGACAGGGTCTCGCTCTTGCTTACGCTGGTCTTGAACTCCTGAGCTCAAGTAATCCTCCCCCTCAGCCTCCCAGAGTGCTAGGATTACAGGAGTCACCCCCAGCCAAGGGATTTCTTTTTGACCAAATAAAGACTTTGAGGGTTTTGCAACTCCTTGTTAGCACTGCTAGGCCTCACCAGAAAGCAGGTTCTTCTCACAACACGCCCTGCCTTTCCCCATCCCTCGGATGTGTCGGAGTCTCCAGATCTAACTGCCTGCACCATCTGTCCTGGTCACCCTCTTAGCTCAGGGCCCAGCACAGGCCTGGCCCAAGCAGGCTGCCATCCACAGTGGACCTCCACGTTAGGCCTCCCGGCTAGAGCCCACCTCTCTCTCCTCCTAGAAAGCCTCTTCCTCACTCCCCAGGCCCAGGCGAGCCCAACACTTCCTCTGGGAAGTCTTCCTTGAATTCCTTGGGTCTTTGAAGTGTTCCCTGTTCCCTCCCAGACCACCTATTTTGGTGCTAAGCACGTTGCACGTAGTTTTTGCACGTGTTGCCCAGCTAGACTGGGAACTCCTAGAAAGCAGAGGCAGCATCTGTGTCATCTTTCTGTCCCTGTGCTTACCACAGATCTGGGTCATCTGAATCCTGGAATTCCCTTTCAGATGTGGGCAGGCCCCTCATGGGAGAGTGATTCTGCCACAGGGAGAGCTTTGCCTGGGTTCTCCAGGTAAACGAGGCTGACGGTTTCGGATGCTGTGAGGAGACACCTGCCTCAAGGGTGTCTAATCATTAGCTTTCAACCGGGGTCAAAAAATCTTTAAGCTTGTCAGCTGGGTTCCGTCAGCATCAGGTTTGAGCTGCTGGGGCGTCTCCCCGCTGGGCAGCGGGTGCCCCAGGGACCGACACAGCCCAGGGACACTGAGGATCCTGCACACCTGTATCCTTGAGTGCCAACCCCAACGTCTGTGCAGCTCTGGGGATGACGTGATTAACGGGGAGCAGGAGCTACTTTTATTTCCAGAGCTGGCTTCTCTCAGGCACACCTTCTCCTCAGGACTATACTCACCATTTCTTCCTTTACCTTTTAATTCAATTAAAACAACATTTATTGAGCCCTTCACAGGGGCAAGGAACCTTAAGGTACTGTGGGAAATTTAAAGAGGAACAAAACTGACGACAAAGGAAAATGAGCAAGATGAAAAAACATAATTTTTTTTGAGACAAAAATCCTTATCGTGCTGTGTAGATAAAACTGAATTCCAAGAACATAGTGCACACCTCACGTGAAGAAGGGCTGTGCTACTTGTCGGGGTCCAGAGGTGAGGACACCCTTGGTCCTTTAAGAACTTGCACTCCAGAAGACAGTACCCTCCCAGAGCAAGCCCTTGGCACCCAGCGGGATGACTACACATTCCTGCCCTCATCACCCCTCACCAGGCCCAAAGACCCCTGAGGGTTAGCAGAAGGAAAGTGGAGGAGCCAGGCCTGGGTCGTGTCCCTGTAACCTCAGCGCCATCTCTCCATCCCAGAGCTGGTCCCCCCAGCTGGAGTTCCTCAGTGGCAGAATTCATCCAAGAGGTGGCCCCACACCCTTCCAGGAGAGCAGAGGCCCCTTCCCTCCAGGCTCTGGTGAGGAGGGTGCTTTGGAGCACGGGGAGACCTCCGGATGGTAGAGGTTGGAGAACCCCCAATGCAGAGTGTAGGGTTCGTCTGGGTGGAGGGGACAGGGGGACCCTGGGATGAATGGAGCTGGGTGTACCTGTTCAGCGGTGGCTGGGATGGGCGGGGATAGAAGGCTGGACACGCCAGGGTGGAAGGCGCTGGGGCATGCCTGGCTCTGGGGCTGCGGTCCTTGTCAGAGCGCCCACCCTGTGCCCGTCCGTCGGCTGCGGGCGAACGGCGGGCCCCCACCCTCGGCCTGGCCACGCACCTGGGCATGCCCTGTCGTAGTCGAAGCAGCAGTCCCCGGTGAGGCGACAGGCTTGGTCGCAGAAGCACGTCCCGTAGACCCTGTCCAGCCTCCAGCCGCGGGCGAAGCAGGCGGGGTCCCGGCCGGGGCAGCAGCGCCCGGCCTCGGCGCAGCCGGCCAGGGCCCCGGGCCACAGCCGGGCCAGCGCGCACAGCGCCATCCACAGGGCCCTCATGGCCAGCGCTCGGGCGGCGCCTGCGACGCCACAGGCCCTCGGGGCAAGTGCTCCGCGCCTCCACGCGCCGCGGCCCGAGCTGCCCGAGCGGCCGGCGCGGCTCAGCCGGCCCTGCCGGCGCCCGCCCCGCCCGCGCGCGGCCCTCCCGGCCTGGCGGCGCGCCCGGCGGCCGTGCCCAGGTGGGGCGGCACCGCAGCCTCCCGGGACGCGCCCGCCCGCCCGCGCCCCGGCCCCGGGGACCTGGGGGACGGGGGCGGCGAGCGGAAAAGCAGGTGTTCGGGGCGGGGGAGGGGACAGCCAGGAGCCAGGCCGGGGCGGCCACTGTGCCTGGCCCCAAGCGCTGCTTCCTGACCTCTGAGGGGACACGTTAGCGAGCGGGCATTTTCACTCTAAAGACAAGCGACGAAGAGCATGTGCTCCACGTGCACCAGACACACGGGAGTCACCAGCTCCCTGCGCGGCCACCCTGCCTCCGCCCCGGAAAAGTCCGCTCGGCACTTTTCCCCGCTCGCCAACCCTAAGAGCCCCGCGGGCCACAGAGAAGCCGGGAGGATGAGACCAAAGGAGCATCCTTTCCTTCTGCCACATCTTTGTAATGGGATTTTTCTGCCCAAGGAAAATGCCACTTTGCTCCACTTAAGAGGCAATTAATGAATATGAAGGAAAGAATAAATAAGATATAAATGGTGTTCTGCTTTCTGTTAAAGCCTACTTCCGAAAAGAAGCCCTCTTTATTGAGTGCTTTCTTTTAGAAATAAATTCCACTTCAATTAAGAGCGTGCCTAAGTTTTTATATATGCCCCCCTCCTCCCTGCAATGTATTACATTTTGTGCACTTCACTCCTTTTGTTCACCAGTATTTATCCTGGAAGTTTTATTTATTTTATGTTCCTAAATCATTTACACTAATACGTTTTTTGTGAGAAACCAGGAATATAACGTTTTCTGCATGTGTGAACCTAAGAAATCAAATGAATTTCAGAGACTAACTTCTTTTCTCAACGAGGATTTCTCATAGATGAATTTTCTTTATTCATCAGAGAGAAAGTAACAAAAGTAAAAAGGAAAAATCTTTACTACAAAAATAGTAAAACAATACAGTAATCAAGCATAAAAAACACATTGGGAAATGAAAAAGATTTAATACATTGTAAGAATTGTACCTTATAAACTCCAATCACAGATAAATAGTTTGAGCAATGCGGAGCGTAATATTATTTTATCGTCCAAGGAAAAAAAACACTCTAAAGTCAAAAAGAAATTCTTTCTTTGTACACTTACGCAAGTAAATTCTTAGCTTTGGAAATTTATTTTGTTTTCCTCTTTAGGTCTCTTTAGCTTTTACAGTTTAAATAAATAATATATACTTCTTTTTTTATATCTTTAGTTCTTGGTAGTTGGAACTAAATAACTTTGCCAGCAAATTATACCCTCTGCCTTTTCCCGTGTTATAGGTTTTATTAGCAGTTTTGTATTCATTCATGTAATTTATCTCCCACGCCTTCTTTAAGGCTATCTGCTTTATAGAATGCCTTTAGGGAGCTATTTATTCTGTAATGCCATAAGAATCTGGAATAGTTCCAAAAAGATGTAAAGGAAAATGATCCACTGAGAAGCTCATTTTCAGGACTAAAACATGAAATGCAGTGATAACAGAGAGGAGATGATGAGGTCTGGTTTAAGAGAAGTAAAAGTATAATGTCAAATGCCTGCTCAAATACCATTTTTTAACCCACCTTTTTCTTATACCCAGATAAAATCAGAACCCCAAATCGAAAACATAAAGGTGGGGGTGTGTGCTCAGGAGTTTTGGGCTTTGGAATTAGAACTTGAGTCCAGTCCTGACTCTATGAGCTCTGACAAATGCTTCAGCACCCTCATTTAAAATAGACCACTAAACCTTTTCAGACTGATACCTACAGAAGTGAGTGTAAATTGAGCACAAAGTGGGAGCTAAGTATCTACTCCTGTCCTAATGTCCACCCCACTCCTACTCCATAATTTAAGCCTAAAACAAAGGAAAAGACAAGGGCAGTTTTCCCAGTGTGCAAAATAGGGGAAACCACAAAGTTAAGAAAAAAAAAAGAGAGAGAAAGAAAACCACAAATAAATGATTACTACTTTAATGGCAAACATAAAAAGGAGCTTGTCTCTGGTAAGTAACATTAAAAGAAACTCACAATCTCAAGTTAAAGCTTGTACTGTCTTGAAAACATCATGATAAACCCCCTCCAGCACGCCCTAGCAAAGGAAGCAGTTCCTGCAGGAATGGGCACAGTCAGGGACCCTGACATTTGAAAAAAAAAAAAAAAACGAGTTCACATCCTTACTGGAAACTGGATGCAGCCAAATGTAACAATTAGTCGCTTTGTTTTCCATGCCTTGTAGATGTTTGGCGAACAGAAATCATCCTAGCGACCATGTAGATGAATATAGGAATGTACCTTAAAGACACTCTTTCTTCTGAAGTGTTGTCTTTGGAAGCTGTCCAAGGTTGGTAAAATTACAGAGTGAAACGGGGGCCTACCTGTTCATCAGATTCCAGAGCATGGTAATTTTAAAGGACATCCACATACATGATCTCATTCAATCCTGTATAACTGTAAGGAAAATATTAGCGCCCCCATCTTGCAGATGACAAAAGAGATTAGACAAGCAGCTAATTAGTGACAGAAAGGCATTAAAACTGAAATTTTTCTTTCCAAAACACTACAGGGTTCTTCCCATTACTTAAAGCTTGTGACAGGGGTGGGAGAAGATGGTAATAATGGAAAGTAAAATTAAGAACTGCACTAAATTCTATAGTGTATGTGGGACTCAAAATACAAATAATTTCCAGAAAGGTTGGATACACTTAAAATGTAAGCTTTACATTTTTATCCACGTAAGATAGATAGGGAGTTACTATAGCCATCTAGGATGCTATGAGGGCTGGAGAAAGAATCTTTAGAGATTGACAAACAGAGCAGTCAATACTTACATGGTTTGGGCGCATTTGTCAGAGGCAGAATACTGCATGAATATCTATAATATAATTTGTTGGATATCAGACAACCTTGATTGTAAGATGTGCCACTACTTTATGCACTACTAAGACAGAAAAAAAACAACAAAACACTGCCAATTAAACTAAGGAGCATACCTATACACAGATTGTAGGATGGATTTCAGTTTCAGAGATGTTTAAATTTGGAATTGTGTATTCTAGAATCAATGAAAAATGGAAAGAGATAACACTTCCATCATTTTACATTTTATAACATGCTTTTTGGATAATCCTATGAGGTCGATGTTGTTAACTTGCCTGCTTTGCTGGAAGGGAGCTTCAGAGGACCTACATGACCTGAGTGAGCAGTGTCCCCGAGTCCTCTCTGCAGAGCTAGTGCTGCTCCCTTGGTTGCAGTTGTTCTCTTCCTGAAGGTGAGATGATGCTACTCTAGGCTGAGGGTCACGGGCCTTCCCTAAGGAGACTAAGATCTAAGGAGGAGCTAGCCACATGAACGGTCACTGCAGTGTATGGTGACGATTGTTATTATTCAAGGGAAGGGGGAGGGATGTCTGAGACACTGTCACTGGAGCTGGGCAGACAAGGAGGATTTCGAATTTGGGGTATAAAGATCAGGACTGGGTTATAATTAACCCCTTTACTTTCTCCCTGGGAAGTGCAGATTCAACCACCAGGAAAAGCTCCAATAACTCTTGGGAAGGTCCTGCCTTGAAAGTCTGGTACCTACTCATTTAATAATGCAAAAATGTGCAGGCACACATCCAAAAACGCTTATTCAAGGTGGTGTGCTTAGTGCACTTTGAGCAATTCTTCTCCTATGACCTTATAGCAAGCAGGCAAGAACATCACTACCAAGGTTTATGCTGCCATTTCTATGTCTTTGATCTTATCAATTCAATAAATGTAAAGTGGATATGAAGATGGTAAAGTAAATTCATTGGTTGCCTATTCAACATCCATTCTTCCTTCTTTTTCTAACAGACTCAGATTTTCCTTTCCAGAGGAAGCACCCCTTCCCTCCATTATTAGACAGCACCCCTAGCTCTAGAGATGGGCTTTGAAGGTCAATTTCATCCTCAGTCTGTGGATGGCTCAGGGATTGTGCCAATCAGAGACCCTGGGATCAGGGTGTTTGTTCAATAGATGACTTGGTTTTCCTTTTACCCTTACTGGAGGAGAATGAGGATGCATGTGACCCTTGTGAAGCCAGTCTGAGACCTTAGCCAACCAGCCAGGGAAGACAGAACCAGGGGATCACAGGGCTTTGACTGAATGAGACTTGAAGCCGAACTTCGCCCTTCTCAATCTTCTGCCCCATTAAATCCTTTTTACAACTTATGCCAGTTTCAGTTGCAATTTCTGTGACTTAAAACAAAAGCACCCAACAAAGGAGATAAGGAAAGTGAAAAGAGCTCAGTTTTTAAAGAGAAAAGTAGATATGAACTGTGGCTCTATCACTTACCAAGTATGTCACATGAAATAAATTATTGTAAACTCTTCAAGCCTCAGCTTCTTGAGCTGTAAAATGGAGACAAAAAAGAAAAGGATTTAATTATATAATTCGTGCATGTCTAGCACAGTTCCTGCTACATAAGAATGAGTTGGTAATTAATGGTAATTATTATATTTGTGCCCTGGACTTTAATACAAAAGGCATGCTTTAATTATGAGTAATAAATTTTTTTCCATAAACTATTGTGTCAGGCTGTATGGTGCAATTGAAAGAGTTCTGTACTGGGAGACCAAAGATTTGGCTTCGATCCTGCCAGTGAGTGACCTTGGGCAGTTCATTTAGGCTCTCTGGACCTCAATTTCCCCATATAATTTGATGATGTGAGCCAAGGAAATCTCCAAGCATCCTGTTAGCTGAAAAATTGTAATATTCAATTTAAGTAGCAGTATAATCTAAGAGAGAGAGTCTTACATGATTTCTTTGACCCTATTCTTTGACCCTAATGGTAGGCTGCAAGTAACACAACTGAGGACGTGAATTTGCAAAGTCCAAGTCTCTCCAAGTTGAGATCAGACAGCTAATTTGAAGACAGACATTTATGTTCACGGATTAATCACAAGTTCATCATTGATGCTTGCATGGACATGTAAAACATGGTAATTATTGAAGCAATGACAAATGATTTTAAAATCAGGAGATGGGCGTAATAGTTTTATCTCCAT